AGGTGAACTAGGAGGAGGGCAGACATGGAATGGATGTAGTATCTACAAACCGTAAAGAAAAACACAGATATGTTTGCCTCTTGAATTTATATTTTATATGAAATAAGAACAAGTCTGTATGTGGGATGACAGGAGGCTTGGGGCTGTGACTGGATGATACAGTCTTAGGATTTGTAAGCTTGGACAAGGTTCGCTTAGGGACTTTTGATATCAGTGTTGTATTGAGTGCTTAATGTAAACGTGGGATCCCAAAAGGCGTGTCTAGGATAGACTGAAGATGGCTCAGAGATGTAGAAAATCCAGAATATGAGAGGAATGAGATGTGTAAAGGAGACATTAGGGAGGTATGGCTCTCAGCCTCTCTGGCTGGGTACCATGGCACCTTCAGTCAGTATTTCAAGATTCTGGTGGTCCTTGTTTTTATTATGGAAAAGTTATTTAAATCTCTTGGATCCATTCATGTCTCTCTAGCTCTCATCTTCTCCAAAACTGTCCTGGCCAAGACCAGAATCAGCCCTAACCCGATGACTGCAATAGCTCCCCATGGCCTCTCATACTCACCCAAGTTCCCTAAAATCCATTCTCCACAATGGAGTAAGCGTGACCTTTTCAAAATCATGTTACCCTTTCTACTTATGATCTTTAAAACAGCTTCCAGTTGCCCTCAGGATAAAGTCAAACATCCTAAACAGGGCCTTGGCTGTGACCTTTAGATGTCTAGAGCATGACCTTGTAGTTCTGGCCTCTACCTACAAATCCAGATTAGTTCCAGATACCTCTGCACCATGCAAATTGTCACCCTCCGAACCTGGCCACACTGGCTTCCCTTTTGCCCGTGACATCCTTGTATTCCTTTCTTCTACCAGGGAGGGCTTCACTCAACTTCGGAGGAGAAAAGATCTCTATTTCCTTTGCTTTGCACCGGACACCTCTTGCATTCATTTGTGTGATGATTTAAGTCAGTGTCTCCTCATCCCATGAGCTGATACATCTCATCACGTGGGGAAGAACTCTCTGCTTTTTGCATCATTAGACCATCAGCATGGTTTAAAAATTGTTCCTCCCACAGAGCAGAGCTTAAAAAATGTATGTTGAATACTGTAATCAAACCATTACATTAATAATATGGTGAGACACAGGTTTCGTATTCTGTTGGTCTCTCAAACTCAGTTTTCAAAAAATGTATCCATTAATTAATCTATTTTTGCTGAGAAGAAAAATCGCGTCATATATTGCTTTCTCAAAATATTGATATGTCTTGTGCTAGATTGCCAAGTTGAATGATTAAACTTGAAAGCCCTCACATATCTTTTGTTTACCAGGTTATGATAGGGCTTCTCCACGCCCTTCTTCTAAAAGAGACGACTTTGGCATACACGTCAAGGAGAAAGAGCTCTTTGGCCACAACGAGCCTATCCCAAGTGCCACTAAATTTCCAAAATTGCGACTATGACAAAACAGACGACTCAGCCAGCATTCATTGATAACAGAGAGCACGTAAGTCTGTTAGAATGACATTAAAACAAAAGACACGCTAACCCACGCCCAGTATCTTGTAGACTTTTAAAATTAATTACTGCATCAATAATACTCATAAAATTTATTGATAAATGACTACTAAGCATGCTGGTTGTTCTGTCAAATTTTAAGATATCCACCCTCTCCATGCTTACTATTTAAGCTACAGGCAAAGGCGAATTAAGTTTAGCCTTTCTAAGATAAGGACTATAAAATTTATTTTGTGAAATAAAATTTTATCAATTCTAGTGTTTCCTGGATCCTTCTTAGTCATACACGCTTTTACTGATTAACCAAAGGAAATGTGATCAATAAAGAGCCAAAAATTTGTATAAGACCGCATTATCTATGTATTTATTTTGAGGACTTCAAAAGGGAGATCCCTTTTGAATAATTAGATTCATCACATACATCTCTTTTGAGAATATATCTTGATACACCATCCCTGCAAATTTTAAGGCCCACATTTTAATCAGGGTACTTATGATTCTGGCATCCTACTGTATTTAGAAAAAGGGCTGCCTTTAAAAGGAAGTGTTTCATGACAATCATCAGTCTTTCCCTAAGAAAATGAATTTCTGAAACGGTCTTATGGATTATTTCCTGTTTCTAAAGACATTAGCAAACCCTTTAAAATGTGTTCGCTCTGTGGGAAGTCCCAGCTCTTATCCCTCAATCTTGGCCTCATGACATCACTTCCTTTCGGGCAGACCTGGTGTGGGCTTTCCTTCATTGTTTCTTTGCCCTCTGCGCTGGTGTGCTCTCTTCTTCTCGTTCTCAGTTATTGGCCCATACAGCCATTTATCAAATATTCCCAACATAAGGACAAAGGACGCCACGAAATATAGGACACAGTCATTCAACTTGGGGGGTGGTGGGGAGTGTTAAATGAAGGCATTTGAAACAAGTCAAAAAGAATGCAAGAAATGTGGGACTTTGGAAGAAAAAAATAGTTTGTTTAGCTATTTTTTCCCTAATTGTATCATAGCAGTAGTTCTAGTAAAAGACTGTAATGTCTGATAATATACACCTTAGCCTCTGTTGGAAAATGATCTAAAAAATGCACACAACTTAAAGAGAAAAAAATAGTTTCTGTGTGTTCCTACAGTTATATTGGTGCATATAGTTTCAGTGAAATATTTAAACAAAATACAATAATGTCAATGGCTTTTTTGTTTGAAGAAGACCCACAGGGTTGAAGCAAGTTTTAAGGTCTACAAATGTCTCTGAAGTGCAGGAAAACCTATTCGTTCAGGAAAGATGAAGCCAATTCCCCATGAAGAATTGTGCTTTCAAGGGAAGCATCCTTCCTTCCCCTCCCACCCAAGTTCTCCCACACTCCACTCTCTCCTTTCAGTGCAATCTGAAAAGATAATTTAAAAGGTATTGCAGTGGGGTCTGGGGAAGCTTATCTACCCGTTCTTCCAATGAACTCACAGAAGGGGCCAGCTTTGCATTCCATTAAAGGAAAACATTTGCAATATTTCCTTAAAGCCAATCATAAACTCCAAATTTGATTTCTATCCTTCTTTTGTTTTCCATCATAAACAATAAAAGTTGAATTTATTAGCAGCAACAAAAATGGAACTTATAGGCTCATTTATCTTTTCTTTTTTTAAAGCCCCAGCTTGCAAGATTTAAAATTGGATCTAATAAGCGACTTTTCAAAGCTGATATGGAGGGCGGGACCGACATGGTCCATGTCCAATCATTTTAAAATGTACTTTTAGAGTAGGTAGCTGTTATTTGTGAAGGCTATGATTGAACAGAAGGCAATATGTTCAAATCCATGTAAGGCGGATAATGTGCAAAGACAGTTCCTTTTGCTCCTGATTTATTATTTAAATTCACTTACGTATCTCCAGCTTCCTTATTTTAGTAGCCTAATGGAAATAAAAATTCATAATCCAAAAATAGATTGGTCACTACGGGACAATTGATCTACCAGCGGGGACACAGTAGGAGTGAACTTCTTCCTGCACTACAAATGACAGTGTTAAGCCTTTTGACCTCGATTGTCCCCACTCAGTAAAATGGTACACACATTTTCATCAACTTTGCAAAGGATTGCCAGCTTGAGGTTTCGTAGCATTAAGTATCCAGTAAAACATGCAGCTAGAGCAGAAGGAATGATTATCTATCCCTGCGTGCACGTAAGTGGGTTCAGAATCATGCTCAAACTAGCTTTTTTTGCGTTGACTGCTAGTTACTTTTTAAAAAGAAGGAAACCACAAAAATTATTTGGCTAACAATGCTTTTCTTTGGGAACTGATTAAATCAGCCTAAATCAGTCTCAAAATTCAAATCATTTTGGCAAGAGGCATGCACTGCTAACTCACAGAGCAAAGAAAACAAAACCAAGCAGTTCTTCAAAACTGCGACTCTTGTCAGCGTTTGCTGCTGGGCTGGGAAACAAAAGAAAACAAAATATAAAGGTGCCCCTTCACCCCAGCTTTGGTAGCCTTTAACATTAATGTCCCTTGCTCTGATCTGTGCTGGCCAAGGAAAGGCAGTGTCCCTTCCAACCCTGCAGGTCTGACAAGTGCCGGCACTGGGCATGCTGTAAAATAAAATAAATACATTAGGAAGCCCATTTCCCCTTTCATTCTGGTCTAGGCATGAGAGATGGGTTACTTAAAATTCAGGTGCCAGGAAAGCCCATTGTAAAAGGGAAATATTTTCAAGTGAATTCCGTTTGATCTTTTTTTATAGGGACTCCTACCAGCCTTTCTGCCTTCCTCCTCAGACCCTGGAAACCAATTAGTCTCAGCACAGAGGCCACAGACCGGTTTGCAATGGCTCCTGCTTTATTTTGAGGGGATATAATTTCAGCCAGGACGTCTTCTCGATTGTCACCCCGTGTACTGAGCACACTGGTCTCTCAAACGCACGTGAATCGGAGAAGACTTGGAGCTTTGAGGCTGACTCCCAGAAAGGAATCAGACCTGGTTGCCATCCCAAATCTTGCAGCCCTGACAATGGCTTAACATCACAGGGTCACCTCATCTTCACAGCTAACCCAGTCAACCAAGTTTTCCAAAAGCCTTCCCTCCCTTGGTTGTTGGCTTCTAGCATTTCTGCTTGGGTTTGTTTGCGCACAATTCGAAAACCTTTTTTTCCATTTTCTAAAGTAGCAGAGAAAACTGGACTAACTTTGATTTTTAAAATGTTTTTGAAGTACCTGTCTTTTGGGGGACATATTATCCAAAAGACCAAAATGGCAACGACCAGGGTCTTGGCTTCTCTTCCCCTTCCTATCCTGTACCTGCCTTACATCATGGAGGTGAAATAAATGATCAGCGAGGTTGGCCTTTTCTTTCCCAGCGACAACATTGCCGAGAGAAAGAGGTGAGTGTGTGAGTGTGTGAGTGTGTGTGTGTGTGTGTGTGTGTGTGTGTGTGTGTGTGTGTGTGTGTGTGTGGGGCGCGCTAAAGGGCTTGGGGAAGGAGAGCACAGCTCTCCCCCAGGAAAGCCTCAGCCGGGCGGATGGGAGGGAACCTGGGGTCCCCTTCCTGGGCCTGAGCGAAGTGTCCCGGACGCCCCGCCGGCCCCCCGCGGCCAGCCCTGTCCTGGACCGGTGCCAGGACTCCTGACAGCTCCCGGCAGGTCGGTGGGTGGGGGCCCCGGGGGCTCTCCTTGCAGAGACGCCGTTTCGGGGAAGCGCCCTTCTCCTGGGGCACCGTGGCCCGCCCCCCTTTCCCTGGCATTTTTTACGCAGACCACACTCCCGAGGATGAACTTGCAGCGCAGCTTCCTGCTGCCGGCTTGACCCGGGAGCGCCCGCGGGCTGCCGGGCCTCGCCCTCGCTGCCTCCTCCTCTCCAAAGCCCGGGGCCTCGGGGCGCCGGCGGGGGTCCGGGCCGGCCGGG